TGCAGATGGAAGCATACTGTTTTCACTTTATTTTTTTCATGTTTTTTTTCTTTTGGTTTCTTCTTTCACAACGTGACTAAGATGGAAATATGTTTTACATGAGTGCACATATATAACCTGCATCAAATTGTTTACCATCTTAGGGAGGGATGAGGCAAAGAAGGGAAAGAAAAAAATTGGAACTCAAAATTTAAAAAAAATTTTTTATTAGTTTATTTTGATTTATCAACAATCACTTCCATATGCTTTTGACTTTAAAATTTTTCTCCCCCTTCCTCCCCCCCACCCTCCCCAAGATGGCACACAATCTGATATTGGCTATACATACACATTCGTATTAAACATATTTTCACATTTGTGATGTTGTAAGTAAGAATTAGAACCAATAGGAGGAACCACCAGAAAGAGGAAACAAAACTCAACAGAAGAGAAAAGAAAATAGCAAATAGTATGCTCCAATCTGCGTTCAAATTCCCTAGTTCTTTCTTTGGATGTGGATAGCATTTTCCATCATGAGGCCTTTGGAGATGTCTTAGATCTTTGTATTGCTGGGAAGGGTTAAGTTTATCAATATTAGTCATTGCACAACATGGCTATTATTGTATACAACGTTCTCTTGGTTCTGCTCACTTCACTCAGCATCAAACTATACAAGTCTTTCCAGGCTTTTTTGAAATCAGCCTGTGAAACTCAAAATTTGGAAGAAAAACAATGAATGTTAAAATTTATCCTTACATATAATTGAGAAAAATACTACTAAAAATAGTTGAGAAAACTGAAAAAAAAAACCCAAAAGACTGCATAAAGTTAGAATGGCTTCACCAGGAATATGTCATACCAAGGTATAATAATTTCCTTTTTCAGGGATGGAAGCCAGGATAACTAGACTGGCAGATCAAGACAGTACCTTAGATGTAAGATGCCTGAATTTCAGTAGAGTATTTGACAAACTCTCTTGGGTATCCTTGTGAAGGAGATGGAGAGATGTGTCCTAAATGATAAAACTGTAGGTGAATTTACCTGTGGTTGAATGACCAAACACCAAAATGGTCATTAATGGACCCATGACGTCTACCTAAAGGGAGATGGCCAGTGCCATCCTCATGTTCCATGAGGATTTGTTACTTGCCCTCTCTTGTTCAATGCTCTTGTCAATAGCTTTTGATAAATGGAAGGCTTGTTGTAGATGGAATGCTTAAAAAATCAACCATAACATCAAACTGCCAAAGATAGTTGATATGTTGTATGAGAATTGGATTCCAAAATGATCCTATAGTTTAGGTTAATAAGCCAAGTCTTTGAAATCAGAACATTTCAGGAATAAATGTAAAGTCTTACACATGGGTCAAAAACTCAACTGCACAAGTTTACAATTTTTAATGTGTGGGAAAAACAAGACTTTGAGGGTTCTGCAAGCTTAATATAAGACAAAAGTTCCAAGACAGCACTCCAAAAAGCTAATGCATTAGCAATTGGGGGAGCTTGACGATGCGTAGAGTGGGCAGAGTGTTGAACCTAGAGTTAGATCTGTGTTCAAATCTAGCCTCAGACACTTCCTAGCTGTGTGACTTTGGCCAAGTCATTTAAACACTCTTTGCTTCATTTTCCTCATCTGTAAAGTGGGGGATAATAATAGCACCTGCCTCCCAGGGTTGTTGTCAGTATCAAATGAAATAATAATTGTAATCAAATGCTTAGCACAATGCCCAGCACATAGTAAGTGCTATGTAAATGTTAGTTATCATATTATTATTATTAGCAGATCATAGTGTCCATAACAAGGGAAATGTTGTCTCTCCTGTTTCCTAGTTACTCCCACCAGTAATATTTCTGTTAAGTTCTGGATGCCACATATTAGGAAGGCCATTGAGAAGGGAAAGGCATCTCCAGGGAAAGGCAGCCAGGATGGTGAATAGACCATAGACCATATTAGTGGTGTCAAACTCAAATAGAAATAGATCTTTGCTGGCTTCATGTTGACTTACAAAACCACAAATTAATATTACCTATGTTACATTGTGTTTGTTTTTATTTTGTCTAACATTTCCCAATTATATTTTAATCTGGTTGGAAGCCCAAATTTGATAACTCTGGAACATACCATAAAAGGCTTTGTCGAAGGAATTAGGAATCTTTAGCCCAGAGAAGAGTCTGGAGAGAAGCATGATAGACCTCATAAAGTAACAATTAATGAAACCATGTCAACCTAGAGGGTGATTAGTAGAACACACCTAGAGGTCTGTCCTTTGTCCTATGCTTTTCAACATAGAAGTTGTAACTATCAAACATGCTTAGATAACACAAAACTGGGAGAAATTTAGTTTGTTTTTTTTTAACATGGGTTCAAAAAACCAATTTTATGGGTATAGTCTGGGAGACGATAGAACAATTCCTATGAAAAAGCACTAGGAGTTTTAATGGACCGCAGGCTTGTGATGAGTAAGTAATGTGTCATGGCAGCCAGAGAGGTAATGGGAACCTCAGCAGTATTGAGACACAGTGTCCAGAACAAAGGTGGTGATCATTCTGCTGTTGTTTGCCCTGGCCAGACCACATCTAGGGGATTGTGTTCTTTTCTGAAGGCCACATTTTAGGGAGAGTTTTGACAATCTGGGACATATCCAAAGGAGGATTGGTTGAAGAAGCCAGGGGTGTTTAATTGTAGGAAGAGATTTAAGGGAGATATTAAAATCATATGGTCATAGATCTAGAGGGACTTTAGACACCATCTGGTTCAATCCTTGGCTTTTATAAATAAGGAAACTGAAGCCCTCAAAAGTTAAGTGACTTGCCTAAGGTCACACAATAGTAAGCAAAGAGGCAAGATTTGTAGCCAAGGGGCAGCTAGGTGGCGCAGTGAATAGAGCACTGGCCCTAAAGTCAGGAAGACCAGAGTTCAAATCTGGCCTCAGACCAAACACTTGACATGTACTAGCTGTGTGACCTTGGGCAAGTCACTTGACCCCAATTGCCTCACCAAAAAAAAAAAAAAAAAGATTTGTAGCCAAGATATGAAGTATCACTGAGTGCACAAAAAAGGAATAGTATGTGTGTGTTTGGGGGAGTGGCGCGGATTGGCAGTTTGGGGATTTCACCAGGAGTATAAGAAAAAAATTATTAGAACTGTGCAAAAATGGAATGGGCTGCTTTTAAAGATCTTTCCATTACCAGAGGTATTTGAGGGGAGGCCAGATGGCCATCTACTGGATGTGTTATAGAAAGAAGTCATGGTTTCGGTGGATGCCTTCTGAGGTCACCAACATTGTGACTCTGTAATTCTAAGACATTTCCAAGGGGGTCTTTTGAAATAAGAGGGAGTCTCATCTCTAGATTGGCTTAGGGGTGGTCCTTCCTGGAGGTAAAAGAAAGGTCTCAAAGCCATCCTTTTATTTTAGTAGTGTTCCCCTACTTTTCTATGCTCCTTAAAGGGATAGTAGTCATTTAGGATTTGAACTGACAGGGGACATTTTATAATGGCATGAACCACCTCTACTTAGGAATGAGTAATCTTTGCCCCAACCCCCACCAGAGGGGCTCAGCTGTCTCCCCAAAGCTGGTCTTGCATGAAAGATGGAGAAGAGCTCAGGCCCCTTTCATTTTCCCATTGGCTTGCTAAAGTGCTGGGTACTTCAGCACTGACTGTGTTTGTGATCCTTTTCTGCTTAGTTCATCAAACCCTCCTTTGCCCAGTGCTGTCCTTTCTTGGCATTTTCATAGCTGTGCTAGAAAAAAGAAACTTCATTTGGCTTGGGAGTAGGACACAGTTATAGTACCAAAGGTCAGACTGGAGGTCTGGAATGATAATCCCCAAAGGACGGTGCCCCTGGGCTTGGCAAGGCATGCTCTCCCCACCATAGCTTCATCACTCAAGGGCATGGAGTGAGCCTTAATAGCGTCTCCAGTATGGTGCAATGTGAGCTCCAGCACACACACCACACAGAGTCCCATGCAACTTGTTCAAAAAGTTTTTTACTCAGGATGTTGCTCAAGTAAGAGAAAAGGAAGACTGGATGATGTCTTCTCCACTTCTGCAAGGGGTCAGATGGGTTCTCATAGGAACACGGGATTATGGAAGTAGAAAAAAGAAAGAAAAATGGAACTGGAGTATGGAAAGGGGGTAGGCCGAGGGGGCAGGAGAGAAAGCATGAGAAAAAGGGAGAGGTGCTTAATGAATCTTGAATGAATGAAGGAAGAGAGAAAAATTAAGAAGGAAGGAGAGAGAAGAGGGGAGAGAGAGGCAATCAGAGACAGAGACACGAAGAAAGACAGAAAGAAACAGACAGAGAAAGAAAGAAGGGGAAAAGGCATGAAGGAAGGAAAAGAAAGCAAGACAAAGAAAAAGAAAGAGGGAGAAAAAGCATAGTGCTTTTAAAATGTGGAATGATGCACACAGCGGGTACTTAGCGAATGCTCATTATGTTGAATGGATAAATGGAGAGAGGAAAGAAAGAAAAAAGGTAGAAAAAAGTGAAAGAAAGAAAAAAAAGAAAGGGGAAAAAAGAAAGGGAGAAAGAAAGGAGGAGATAGCAGGGGAGAAAGGGAGGGGAGGAGTGATCTCAGGGAATGTTTGGCAGAGGCATCATTTTGTAGTCATAAATTTCGGAGGGCAGCTGGCCGGCCCTCTAAAGAGCCTCACTCCCCCCAGCCCGGTCGGGGCCGGGAGGCGGGCTGCGTCATCCTCCCCCTAGAACTCGGAACCTCTTAACAGCAGAGCAGAATTCCCGGCGCTGGCGCCACAAAACTTGGGCTGTGGGTAAGACTCCCCCCCCCCCAACATGCTTTGTCCATTCAGCAAGGGGAGGGGATGTGTGTGAAAGGAGGGGTGCTGGGGGAGAGGGAGGTTCTAACCCGCCCTTGGCCCCATCGGCCCCCAGGGGGCCGCGGCCGGAGCCAGAGCGTCAGTCCAGCAGCTGTGGAGGGCGTCGAACAGGAAGGTCTAAAGGTGACCCTTCCTCGTTGGCCAGAGGGGGCCCCTGCTCAGGCATAAATAGGCTGCTCGGGCTGCCCTGCTCACAAACGGCCGCCGAGCAGTGCTGTCCTCTGCCAGCCCTCTGTCAGCCAGCACAGGTGCCCGCAGCCCCTAGCCTGCCACCCCCGCTCCTGCCCGAAGCTATCCTGAGTGAGTACTGGCCCCCGCCCCCGCCCTGTGGACCCCAACCTACAGGTTTTATTTCCTTAGTATATTAAGAGAGACAAATTCATCGGTTCTGCAACTTCTTGTGCTAGAGTGATAGCAGCTCTTTCCAGACCGTGCTGCTAACCCGTCCTCCAGGTTTGTGCCCCAGAACAGCCCTGAGCCCCTCCAGTAGTACACCTGTAATTCCCTTAGCTAAACCCCTCTGGCAGCAACCAGAAGTTTGAGGACATCAATTTGAAATTCATCACAATGTTGGCACAGAACCCATTCTTTAAAAGAATAAATACACCACTGATGTTTCCCACAGAAACATTTGCCGGTCTAATTAATTCCAGATGTGAGTCTAATAGGATTGGAGAAGAAAACTAGGGCTAGGTTTCTCCAGATGCCTGATCAGAAGGAATAAAGGGAAGGGTATTGGGGTTTTCCATTGGAGGTGCCCATCTGGAAGCTGGAGCCAGCCTGGCAGTGGGTGGGGAAATGGGATACTGTACATGGGGAAGGAAACCTGGTGATGTGTTCAGCCAGCCCTCCTTCCACATCCAAGTACTTTATATGTGTAGTTCCTTGTGGAGAGGTCACTGTTCATAAGGAGAGCAGACAGTGGTCCTTGTCACCAGCTTGTCCCCTGCCTCTCTGTGTCTGTGATGATATGTCATACCAATGAGGGTATATCCCCCCTTTTCCACATTCAGGAACATGGAAAATTTGATGCGTGTCTGCCGCTCCTGTAGAGCTGTGGGGACCCTCCTCCTGACAGCTCTGAGCTGGAGCAGCTGCTTGCCAGTGGGGGAAGAGGCTGTTTGCACAGCCCCAGGTCTGGGGAGGTACACTATCTCCTTCACTGGGAAATGGAGCCAGACAGCCTTCCCCAAGCAGTACCCTCTCTTCAGACCCCCGGCACAGTGGTCCTCCTTACTGGGTAAGTAGAGGCAGCCTGGTAGAGCTAAAAGGATGCTGGACTTTAGTGGTGAAATGGAAAGATTTGGAGTTGGAAGATGGGGAGTTTGAGGCCAAGCTCTACCACTTACTAACTGGGAAACCTTGAACAAGTTGTAAGTCCTCTCGGAGCCTCAGCTTTCTCTTCCGTAAAATAAGAGTTTAGTTTTGTTTTTTTGTTTTCAAATGGTCTCCAAGGTCGTTTGTTTTCAATTCTAAGAGACCTGGTCTTGTAGTCAGGAAGACTTGGGATAAATTCCTATCTCTCATACATACATCTATGTGACCTTGGACAAGAACTTGATTTCTCAATGACCCCACCTCCCAACTCCCTAAGACGGTAGTTTACATATTGGTAGAGGGTGTTTTCTCACAAGGAGCTCCCTTCACTTAAGAAATTACAAATCTACCCCCCCAAAAAACAACCCCCCCAAAACCTCAGTGCTTAGCATAGAAACCTGAACATACTGGGTGTTTAATAAATGTTTCAAAGTTTTTTTTTTTTAAAAGAGCCTCACATTTATATCATGTTTTAGTTTCCAAAGCACTCTACAAACCTGATCTCATTTGATCCTCATAGAAATTTTGTGAAGCAAATCGTGTAAGTATTATTGTCCCCCAAAAGAACCTGAAGCCCAGAGAGGGAAATTAAATTGTCTAAGTTCACATAGTTAGTTAGTAAAAGAGCCAGAACTCACACCAGAGTCATTTGACTTAAAATCTAGAAAGGACTCTTTCCACTCTACAAGCTATGATTTTTACAGCACAGAAACAATGGGTAATTATGCCCCCTAATGATGTTCTATTTAATGGCTCCAGAGATCTGATTCTGTACCAACAGCACCAGGAGGATATGTCTGGAGGGATAGCCCTTGGCCAGATTTAGCTGTAGGGTCCAGAATTCAAACTTATGTCAGCTCTAAAAATATTTAATTCTTCCCCTCCCCCCAAATGGAGATGTCTAGAGCTGTTGGGTAAACAAGGTCAGGCTGGGGAAACCTAAGCCAAAAAAACACACGGGACCATCTTGGAAACCCAAGGATAAGGCCTGGCCAAATCTGAACTTTGAGGATCTAAGACATTCAGATAACACTCACAGCTTTGTTTACTTTGTATACATTGTCTGATTTGACTCTCACTGGCTCAGTGGAATAGATACAATTATCATTCTAAGGCCCAGGGAGATCACTCAGTAAACACCTAGGATCCCTGGGTAAAGCACCTGGGTGTCTCCTGACATTAAGACCTGTCCCCTACATATTACATCACCTGGCCTCTCTAATGTCCGTCTGGCTAATATCTGCCCCTGACAGGTGCGACACACAGCTCTGACTATAGCATGTGGAAGAAGGATGAGTATGTCAGCAATGGGGTTCGGGATTTTGCTGAAAAGGGTGAAGCTTGGGAACTGATGAAGGAAATCGAGGCGGCCGGTGAGAAAATTCAGAGTGTGCACAGTGTTTTCTCAGCATCAGCAATTCCCAGTGGCACAGGACAGACCTCCACTCAGTTAGAGGCTCATTCAAGGCATTCACTAGTAAGTGGATTTTCAGTGTCTTTCAGGATCATCTTCATCCTCATCCATTTTCCAATAAAGGGCAGGTATCATAGAAACTGTCCTGCCACAGAAAGGTTCCTATAGGCAATGGGGTATAAAGAAGGGACTCAGAGTCTCAAGACCTGGGTTCAAATTCCAGCTCTGAAACTCACTAAACTATATGACCAACTGAGTCATAGTCAACCTCAGCTTTCTTATCTGTAAAGTGAAGATCATAGGAGCATAGAATCATTAAATTAGAGCTGGAAGAGACCTCAGAGGCCATTGGGGTTCAGAGGCAGAAATGGAGACGTAGAAAAGTTAAGTGACTTGCCCAGTGTCATGCTAGTAAGTGTCTGAGACAGGGTGTAAACCCCGGTCTTCCTGACTCCATATCTAGTGCTGTATTCACTGTACTACTTATACAGAGTGAGGCAAGCACAACAGAAATGGGATTTATTATGATAACGATGATGATGATGATGATAATGATTACTATGCTAACTATTAACACTGATTGGAAAAGGCCAACCGAGACATGCGTTAGGCATTTGTACCAGTATAGAAAGAGAATTATCTGGGCATGTGAGTGAGCCATTCAGAAGGAGGAAAGGACATTACCACTGCCCGAGGACTGGTAGGCTGGCTACTTCCTTGGTGTCTTTGGGCTGATTTGGATGAGACCCAGGCAGCCTCTGGGCTGGGGAAGGGAAGACCTGCATTGCTTAGTCTCCAGCAAGTGCTTCTTGACGTGGTCCTCTCTCTATCTCCTCGGGGATGCTGACTGGCAGGGAGGCCTCCAAAGGTTCAGCTCTTTATGTGTGTAGCTTTTAGGGATCTTGTGAGTTGTAACTTGGCATCTCCCTCCATCCTAGGGGATGTTTGCCAGTATAGTGAGTGTGCATGCTCAGGCTTGCTCCAGGTAGAATTCTACCCTGCCTTGAGTTTCCTTGGGCTCACTTGGTCCACCCACGCTTTCCATTGTAGATGTAGACTTCCCCGGACAAGGCAAGTTCCAACCAGTGTAGGTTACTCAGGTAATTGAGGCTACCAATCAAGCCACTCAAAGACTGTCCCCTGTTGGAAGATTTTTCTGATCAATCAATTGGCAAATTTTTAGTAAGCCCACACTATTTGCCAGGCTCTGTAGATACAAAGAATGGCATAATCCCAACTCACAAGAATCTTACATTCTAAGAGGAGACAACAAGAATAAATATATATATATATATTTATATGTGCATTGTAAGAATAATATAGTGAATAAATACAAATATATGCAAAAGAAGGTAAATGCAAGGACACCTGGGAGTGAGGGTTCTAGCTGTTGGGAAGGTCTGCAAACACTTTGTGCAAAAGATGGTCCTTGAGATGTATCTTAAAGGAGGAATGGGACTCTTCGAGGCAGAGGGAAAGATGGAGGGCATTCCAGGCATGAGGACTAGCCAGTGCAAAGGTATGGAGACAGGAAATGGGTCTGTGTGTGAGGAATAGAGAGAAGGTCAATTTTGATTGGTTTGCAGAGTGCAGGAGGGGAAGTAATTTTCAATGAGGCTAGAAAGATAGGATTGCATCCTGGTTGTGAAGGGCTTCAAAAACTAACAGAGGAATTTCTATTTTATCTTCAAGGCAATAGGGAGCCATGGCAGCTAGTTGAGGAGGGGAATCACATGTGAGATCAAAATGACTTCAGCAGGGGAGTGGAGGATGAGCTTAAGTGGTGACGGAGACTTCCACATCATCCATAGTTATTTTAAGCATCATTGACATAACTCTGACAGAGCTTCCCCTCCATTCCCTAGTTAAAGTGCAGATTTTGTCTTATACAGAAGCCCTCGGTAGTTCCTATGTTTGCGGGGTCACCCTGCAGGTGCTGAGCTCAGTCCATCCTGCTCTCCAGCCAGGGCTTTCCAGGAGAGTCATAGACTCCTCATCAGTGCTAATTCTAGCTGCCTTTCCATTGCCAGGTGTCATTCCTAGTGCGGATTGTTCCCAGCCCTGACTGGTTTGTTGGAGTAGATAGTATCAATCTGTGTGAAGGAAACCGATGGAAAGAACAAGTCACCTTGGACCTTTTCCCCTACGATGCTGGGACAGACAGTGGCTTCACATTCTCCTCCCCCAACTTTGCCACCATCCCCCAGGACACGGTGACAGAGGTAAGGAGCACTGGAATCAGGGAGGTCATTAGGGCTTACCCCTCATCCAGTCCATGCCTTGTGGGCTTGATCATTCTGGAGAACTGGCTTCTGTCAAAGTACTTGAGGGAGAAGGCGTGCAGGATGGGTCTCCAGACTTCTCTCAAGCACACAGACAACTATCTTGGGTCACTTTACTCCGTTATCTGATAACTGTCTAGACCAGACTGCCTAGATAAAGCTTTGATAAACCTCACTAGATAAGAACTGACAGGCTAAGCAAATTGCCTAGTTAACTTGGCCTGGGCTTGGACTATTACAGGGAATCTGCTTATTTAGGCTGCATCCCTGAATCCAGTGGAGAATTTAAACTGCAAGGAGAAATGTGGTTTTTGGCCTATGGTCTGTGTTGGCTGGCTGGGCGAGCCTGCTGCTGGAGTTTCCCAGCTATCTGACAATGGTATCAGAGATCTTTCTGCAGACTGAGCAGTCTTAACTGAGCAAATGTCTGCTTTGCTTAAATTCCAGATAACATCGTCATCTCCCAGTCACCCTGCAAACTCCTTCTACTACCCCAAGCTGAAATCTCTGCCACCTATTGCCCGAGTGACCATGATGAGAATAAAAAAGAGGCAAAGGGTCTTTGTCCCCACTCCCCCTGCCATGGTCCGCATGGGGAATGAAATTGAGGATTCCCTTTCAGGTAAGTCCGCGGGCTTCTCCCACTTAGGCATATACTCTCTGGGGTGGTGGAGTAACCCCAAAGCAAAGGCAAGCCAGTGACCCAATTGGAAGTAAATTTAGCTCCAGCAGCTGTATGGAATGGTGCCACCACGGGGGAGGAGAAGCTTCCTTCCCCCTGGCTCCCACTGGAGGCTTTGGGAAAGAATGAGATAATGTAGGGGAAAGTGGTTGGAAAAGCAGATACAAATGTGAAGAAACTGGTGGGTTTGACTTTATTGCCTTTGAGAGATGACCTGGTATAGTGGATAGAAGGCTGGTCCTGGAGTCAGGAAGATCCAAGTTCAACTCTTGCCCTTGGTACACATTAGCTGTGTGAATCTGGACAGTTGCTTAACCTCTCAGTGTTTTCCCCTCCTTTCTAAGACAGGGGTTTTTAACCTGGGCTGTTTGAGTTTAAAAAAAATTTTTTTTATAACTGGATTTCAATCTAATTGGTTTTCTTTGTAGTTCTATGTACTTTATTTTATACATTTAAAAACATTATTCTGAAAAGGGGTCCATAGGCTTCCCCAGACTTTCCATGGGGTCCATGACAATTCTTTAAGTTATAGATGAGCTGCCAATCTGCATTAGTGGAGGGAGCGTTCACACCAGGATGTCCCTACAATCAATGAAATCATAGGTACCTGTAAAGGAATTAATTTTAAGTAGAATAAGTCTTCTTGTCAACCAGAAGGGGCCTTAAGGACTAACTAGTCCAGAGGAAGAAATAGATGATCAGAGATGAAAAGGGCCTCGTGACTACATAGAGCATGATTATTCCATAACATTTACCATTTGAAGACTTTCATCCTGTAATTATGGCTTTGAAAGTAAATAAATAAAATGGCTACATAAAAAAGTTGAATGAATTTCCCTCCTTCCGCTAAAAACAATACAGTGCTTAGCCCAAGGCACTGCACACAGTCGGATCTTAAGCATTTGATTAATTGAATTGAAAAAACACACAATGTGATTTATGTTTTAGGAATACAGATTCATACTGATTCATGTTGTGTCAGGGGAGAACAATTAACTAACTTATTTGTTAGGGTTCTACCTCTCCTTTTATTATAAAAATTAATCAGAATGAATTGGGCAATCTATTCCTACCCATTAAGGTCCTTCATTCATAAAGACACTCCATCCAAATCTTTCTATTCTTTGTACCATCTGGCCTGGAGGAAAGAGGACTTAAACGAGTGGGATGGGGATGAGAGAAGTGGTTGCCTGCCCAGTAATATCTGAAGCGCTGATCTGGGACACTTGCCTTGCTTAGCTCTAGAGCACAGAAATGTAGTGGAGAGGACATTCAACTTGGAGGCAGAAGACCTGGGTTAGAATCTAGGCAAATCCTTCATCTGCTTGGGGTTCAGTTTTCTCCCCTGTAAAATGAGGGGATTGGTCCTTTCAGTTCTAATTCCTATAAGGGAGGCACATTGGGAGGAAGCCACAGAGAGGTAGGTTTGGACATAATGTAAGGACAAATATTTGTTGTTCATCCTTCATTTTTGAAGAGGACCAATGACATCAAGCTCTCAGTCCCTGGAGAGCTTGCTGAGGATGGTATGGAGGACTCATATACAACCAGCGGGGTTTGAACCCAGCTGCCTTAGGAGGCTCTTCCCATGAACCTGTGATTCTGAAATATTAGAGACCTACTCGGCTCTCCTCCCCACCCCACCCCACCCCAAATCAAGCTCTTTAGGTCCTTCAAATGAGCTGCACATTATTAATCTTTCATATGTCTACTCTGAAGTCAGTCTTTCTATCCTGTTGAAAGAGACAGTATAAAGGGGAGACTTAGTGAGGATCATATGATTTGGGGCCATTGCTTTGGGACAAACAGATCTTTATCTTAATGAATAAGGAACTTCTGTAGACCTTAAATTAATATGGATTTGAAACTGTTTCCAGAAGTAAGATGAAAGACCATGGCATTAAATCTCTGGGCCATAGCAATCAATTAGGCTTTCAACAAGTGTTTTCTGGTTTTCCCTCCCTTCCTAAGCCTGCACTGGGGGTTATTGAGGTAGACAGAGACAGAGACAGAGACAGAGACAGAGACAGAGGCCCTAACCCTCAGAGTCAGAAGACTTGGGTTTCCTCTCCATGAGAAGGGATATTACATAGGGAATGAAGGGGTTGACCTGACCTCTGACGTCCCATCCAAATGCAAAATCCTAGGATTTTAAGTTTCCAGAATTCCCGTTCTGTCTTTCCAACATCCCAGGAAGACAGGCTGTAAGACAACTACTTGTATTTTGCTCACAGGGAAATTGAAGTACATTGGAGGACAATAGTTTGATTTAAGTTGGGTAGCTGAGCCAGATGGACCCCCTTCCGTTCTCCCGGTTACTACCTAGTGTCTATCCAAACTTCCTGCCTTTGCTTGGAGAAAAATTAAGTTAAGTGGTTCAGCCATAAAGCCCAATGGATTCTTTTCTATTTGTTTTTTAATTTGGGGAAATGAGCAAGACATGGTGAAATGAAAAAATGCAAAGACGGGATGCTGCAGCCCACAGTGCCCATGGTGCCCACCATAGGGGTCCCAAGCTGTGGGAGAGGCCTGCCTTCTCATGACGATCTGGGGATCTAGCTGCTCCCTTTGGAATCCATTAGGGATGAAAATCAAATGCTGCAGTTTTGTCAAAACTGTTGTCAGAGTGTTTGTCATTTTTTGAGCATTTTCTCACAATAGGAGAGCTTGGCACTTTCTGGAGGAGTAAACACAGCGCACACGGTGGCAGTGGCGGGGGCCAGGAGCCTTCAGGCTGCCACAGAACGACAGCTCATTTTCAAAAGCAGAAAACAGAAGCTTTTATTTACCAGGCAACATATGGCCTTTATTATAGGAATGTAAAAATCAAATCCTTTGAATTCGATGTCCCTAGGCAGATCGAGCAGCGATGGGAGATGTAGTATCCAAAATGTATTGGTTTGAGGTTAGAAAAATTACACCATCTCAAAGCTGAAAGGGACCTTAGAACATTGAATATAAAATGCCAATCAATCATCTACGGAGAGCTGGTAGTGACCTGGGAATCTCTATCTAGTCCAGAGCCCTCATTTTATAGATGAGAAGCCTGAGGCAGAAAAGTGTGGTAACACAGGGAGTAAGTAATAATAGCTAGCATTTATAGAGGGCTTTAAGCTTTGCAAAGTGCTTTGCAAATACTATCTCATTTCATCTTCACAACAACCATGGGAGTAAGTGCTTTTATTATCCCCATTTTACAGATAAGGAAACTGAGGAAGACTGAGGTTAAATGAGACTTGTTAGGGGTCACACAGCCAGTAAGTGTGTGAGTCACAAACTGACCCTCATGTTCTCTCCACTCTGGGCCCAGCTCTGTATCTGCTATACCACCTAGCTACAGGAGCTTGGATTCAAACCTAGTTCTTTGGCTTAAGAGTCAGTGTTCTTTCCACTGAATCGCCCTGACCTTGGAATATAGACTGTGAACATGGAATGCTCAGGCTAGAAGGGATCTTAGAAAATAGAATGTTGGAACTGGAAGGGGCCTTAGAAAGTAGAACAACCAAGCTGGGAGGGGCTGAGTCTATCACACATGGGATCTGGAGCTTTAGGACACAGAATGTCACCCCCAAAAAGAACTTCAGGATATAGGACATAGGATTTTAGAGTTAGAACAACTATCAGAGACAATCTAGTCCAATCCCTTTTACAAAGAGAGAAACTGAGGCCCAGGGAGGAATAGAGACTTGCTCAGGGTCTCACAGTTAAATAGCAGAACTGAGATTGGAACCCAGGTCCTCTGATTCCAAGTCTAAGACTCTTCTTATGCTGTGCTCCATATCTTACTATCAGAGCTACAAGTAAACAAACAAAACAAACAAACAAACAAACAAACAAGTTACTCCTCTTGCTTTTTAAAAACAGTGACAGCTGTTCCCTGGTTTTACATGGGGGGGGGCAAGAGGAACAAATATGTCTGATTTTCCTGAAACACATCTATTAATGCTTAGTTTAACGCTAACTGGATGTCTTCTGTGCTTTGTCCATTTCCAGAAACACCTCTGGACTGTGAAGTCTCCCTGTGGTCTTCCTGGGGTCTATGCACAGGCCCGTGCGGAAAGACAGGCGCCAAGAGCCGCACCCGCTACGTCCACCTGCAGCCAGCCAACAATGGGACCCCCTGCCCAGAACTGGAAGAAGAGACTGCATGTGAGCCTGACAACTGTATCTAAGGAGCATGACAGACCCAGCCAGTCAAGTGCCCAGATCCCTCCTGGGTAATCAAGCTGGGCTGTGGGCAGAAGCGGGCACAGGAGTCAGTCCTGGGGAATTCAGGTGTGGCCTTGGCTTGGCATGGGACATTATCTATCGAGCGACCCTCTGTTCAGCCTGGGTGACCAATTGTGGGAGATGTTTCTGATAAATCCCTAAATGTTCATGCAGCTTTCTGACTTGGGATGAGAGACCCATAGCCCGAATCAACCCTCCCAAAATGGTAGAAGTGCTCACACTACCCTCTAGTGGCTAAATGGGAGATTTCTTTCTAAGCAAATTGGATTCACTTATGAAAACCGATTTTTCTCATACACACGGGAACCAGTAAGTTCACATCGTCCAACGCTGGCATGCCTACCCCATCATCCTCCATCTCCCACAATCCCGCTTCAATAACAGGATTCTAGAAAAACACAACATTTGGAGAAACAACATGACAAGGGGCTGTGGCATGTTCGGTACGACAACATTGTACCTTAAGGATTCGTGATTTCCTGCACAAAGTCAATCCCTCCACTGAGGCAGATTACAACCCCTCCTCCTACATAACTTACAGATTTAAAGCTTGTAGAAAAACCTTAGAAATCATCTAGTTCAATCCCCTCATTTTACAGATGAAGAAACTGAGGCTAGAAAAATTAAGTGACTTACTCTGAATTATACAGGTACACAGGTACAGGGTCAGGATTTGAATCCAAGCCCTTTAACCCCAAATCCTGTGCTCTTGCCATTGACTGCATCACATTGTCTCCCTACACTTTTATGTGAGTTATTGTGGCAAAAAAAAGCCACCGCCCCCCCAGCTGGTCAGTCCTGTGGAGACACACTTCTCACTTGGCTACCCTGCTTTATAAGTACCAAATACACAGATTTTCCCCCAGCCTATACTTTCTCGCTTGACAGACCATTTGAGAGTTTTTGCCTTGCTGATATGGCCTTCTGGGGCTCACGGCTACCTCTACCAGCCATGGGACCTTGGAGAAAGTTTTCAGTGAAGGTTAATGTTGTCTTAATGGTCATTCAATGATTGGTTAATGAATGTCACAGTGATGTCTCTCCAAAGTTGCAATGAGGTTTGAGTCATGTATTAATAGTGTTGATCAGGGCAATGTTACATGGGTCATGCCCGAACTAGAATTAATTCCTCCAGAAAGTTTATTTATATACATTTGAGGTTAATGACAATGATGTCCTGGATTATGATTTTTTCTTTTTTACTAATTTATTAGCTTTAAGCAAACCTTTACATGGCCTTTTATTTTCTTTTAAATTCAGAGAAAGGATACTTCCCAAGAACCATTAGGCCTCAGAGGAGTGGAAATGAGGAAATGTAGAGAACTCAGTGAGACCCTGGATTGCCCCTCCAGGCAAATACTTCCATTTGTGCCCAGGTTGAAATAATCCAGCTGCCAGCCACTGAAATGTGGTTGTGGCTGGGATCCCTTCCCATCTAGCTGGCTTTGATCCTGTGGTTTTGTCAAATATTCATCTGAACAGGGGTCAAAACAAGTGATGATATGAATGGACAATCTGGAAAGATTCACCTCCCTTTTTTAAATGTTACTGATCTCTTTGCACATAAATAAAATTTCTATGTTTCTTCACAAATGTCCATGAATCAACCTTACTCATGCCTAGGAAAGTCACCAAGTTGGAAGGAGGATGCTCTCACTGGATTTAGAATTAAAAAGGAAGCACAAAGCTTATCTTGTCTAACCCCTTCATTTTATTATTATTTTAAATTTTATTTTATTAGTTTTCCAATTAACAAGTGTTCATTTCTTTTCCCTTCCACTCCCTCCCCTCCCCATTTGGATAACCAAAAGAAAAAAAAAAGAAAAACAATTTTAAATGCTGTAACAAATATAACTTCCCCACTGGCCCTGTAACCTTGTCTTTTTACAGAGGAGGAAACCAGAGGAACAAAGTGGCATCCAAGGTCACACAGGAAATGCCAGAAACAGGATTTGAATCCTAGGTTCTCTGACTCCAAATGCAATATGCTTCTCACAGCATTAACTCAAAGTAGCAGAGTAGTGCTAGGATTCTAGGAACGTTGATTTAGGGCTGGAAGAGACCTCAGGAGCTAGCGGTCTAGTACAACTCCCAGATGAGGAAACTGAGGCCATAATTTTAAGGGAGATTAAGTGACTTGCTCAGGGTCACACAGATAATAAAGCTACAGAAACAGAATTGGAATCCAGGACCTCTGACACCCATGCCAGTGTTCTTTCCATTATATCATGTTATCTCTGTATTTGTTAACTACAGCTCACGTTTATACAGCACTTTAAGATTTTCGAAGTGTTTTACGTATGTGATGTCATCTCTCCTCACAACGACCTGAGAGGTAGGCGCTGTTATTACTCCCACTTTATAGATAAGGAAACTAAAAATGAGAGGTTAAGTGATTTGTCGGTGACCACACAGCTCATAAAGATCCCAGGAAGGGTTTCAACTCTGGTCTTCCTTGACATCATGTCTCGTGCTCTGTTGTTGATGTTATCATGGACCCATTTGGGGTTTTCTTGACAAAGATACTGGAATGGTTTGCCATTTCCTTCTCCAGCTCATTTTACAGATGAGGGAACTGAGGCCAACAGAGTTAAGTAATTTGCCCAAGGGTCACATAGCTAGTGTCTCAGGCCAAATTTGAACTCAGGTCTTCCTGACTCCAGATCCCATGCTCTATCCACTGCACCACCTTGCTGTCCTATGTCCTATGTCTGACTCTATCATCCTATGGATCTGGAGTGCAATATCCACACGTATAGTCAAGTGTTAATTATTTGCTGACCAATACAAATGAATACGTTGGCATCATCCAAGTAATTATGTTCAAGGATCTTTTTATGCTACAACAAAAAGCGTGTCTTTGAAACTGTTAAGCTAAGGTAGAATACAATGGAGATAACGTTGAGAGAATTCTCTTTAAAAATTGGTGTTTAACAGGGGCATCCACTCTCACCGCTGCTATTTAACATAGTTTTAGAAACTGTAGCCATAACAACACAGCATGAAAAATAAGTTGAAGGGATGGGCATTAGCAACGAAGACATTCAAGTCTCTCTATTTGCAGATGATGTAATTGTTTACCTGGAAAACAAGATGGTCAGCAAACAATAATGAAAGACCTTAGTCAAGTATCCGCTATACTCCATCAACCCACAAAGGTCACCTGCATTGCTAGATTCCTCTACCAAAAATAGGGAGAAACAGAGAGAAAAAGAAAAGCCCTTTTTAATAATGATACCCAATATTTGGGTGTCAACTTCTGGAGACATCAAAGAGACCCTGTACAAAGGCAATTTCAAAATGATTTTGATAGAAATCGAGGAAGAACTGAGAAAATGGAGAGACTGCTCATGTGGATGAGAAAAATAGAATAAAAAGGACCACTGCTCTCAGACAGATTTAATGTGATATCAGTTAAAAGAACAGCAGGTTATTTCATAGAGCTGGATAAAGTCATGGTAGAATTTACATGAAAAAATTGAGATAAGATCATGAGGAACTTTGCAAAAGAAGACAAGTGACGTGGACCCAGCACAGTGCTACCTTATCTCAAAATGTATCATAGATTTGCAGTTATAAAAATTTCCTGGCTCTGGAAAAAGAGTAGGGAAACAGATTAAATGATTTGTATTCATTGACCACTAAAACCTGAGAATGTCAGAGTTCAAAGTTGTCATTGGAACAAAGCATGTCAGAGCTAGACAAACCTTAAAATGCAAAGTATAGAATTTCAGTGCTACAAGAGACCTTAGAACATAGAATGTCAGTGCTGGAAGAGACCATAAAACACAGACTCTAAGATGTCAGAGCAAGAGGGGTCCTTAAAACATGGAAGTAGAATGTCAGAGCTGGTAAGAATCTAGCCCAATGTCTTCAGGCTCAGAGACAAAAAAATGACTTGTACAAGGTCATACAGGAAACAGCAGAGTCCTTTGACTTCAAATGCAATGTCCTTTCCACTCAGACAACATGTTTAGTGACTGCATGTTTGGAAAGGTATCAGGGTCCAGAGGTCCTTTTATCTCAGTTGGTGGGTGTAACTGGAATTACCTGCCTGGGTGCCACCACCATGACCACATGTCATTTCTCCCAGAAATCAATTTCTCTGGCTTATCTACTGAGATCCCAATACCTAATGGGCATTTAGCACAAGGCCAGACAGTGAAGACTGGTCCATTGGAAAAAGAACTCTGGGCGAAGGCTGAAGGAATGGAAGTTTACATTTTTCTTTCACTATTTAGTTTCTGTTTGTCTATGTCATCAGCTTTCTATTTCCACGTAGCAGAAAGAGAGGAGAAATGCATCATAGAGGATATTCCCAGTGACACCTGGATCATAGGTAAGCTAAGTTCCTCCTGTTCAAAGTGGAATGTCATATATGGCTTTATGGATCAGAGGATGATGGGATGGAACCCTCCTCCTCCTCCTCCTCTTCCTTCTTCTCTTCACTGCTGTAGTCGTTGCATATATTGTCTTTCTGGTTCTGCCTTTATCAGTTCATATAAATCTTCCCAGGTCTTTCTGAATCCTTCATTGTCACTGTTTCTTATAGTACAGTAATAGTGAATTATGTAAATGTGCCACAATTTGTTTAGCTCCCCAACAAATGGGCATGTTTTGTTTCTAGTTCTTTTCTATCACAAACAGTACTGCTATGAATGTTTTGAAGTATGGATCCTTTTTTTCTGTCTTGGACTTTCTTGGGATATATATGCCTAGCAGTAAGATCTCTGGCACAAGTGTATAGATATTTTAGTCACTTAAAAAAACCCATAATCCCAAATTGCTTTTCAGAATGGTCAGTTCGATTTACAGCTCCATAAACAGTGTGCCTATCTTCTAAAGCTCACTCCTACAATGTTGTAAGGTCTTCCAAGTGTAGTGGATAGAGAGCCAGCCTTGGAATCAGGAAGTCAGAGATTCAATTCCAATTTAAATTTCAGCCTCTGAAATATACTGGCTATGAGATACTGGATAAGTCACATATCTGTTAGTACCCCCAGGCAACTTTTTTTTTTGTGTGGGGAAGAAATGGGGTTAAGTGACTTGCAGAGGCATACAGTTAGTAAGTGCCTGAAGCTGGATTTGAACTCAGGTCCTTCTGACTTGGCTGGGGTGGTGCTGTATCCACTATGCCACCTAGCTGCCCCAGAGTCCCCATTTGGGGTTTTCTTGGCAAAGATGCTGGAGTGGTTTGCCATTTCATTTTTCAGATCATTTTATAGATGAGGAAACTGAGGCAAACAGGGTTAAGTGATTTGTCCAGGGTTACACAGCCAGTAAAAGTATCTGAGGCCAAATTTGAACTCAGGGCCTTCTGACTCTAGGCCAGCCATTCTATCTGCTGAGTGACCCAGCTGCCTCTCAGGCAACTCTTTGAGGCTATAAATTACAGACAATTGTCAATGTGCTTTGGTAGAGGTGAAACAAGGTAGACAGAATGTCCCTGTGCTTTACCTCCTATAAGGATCATTTTGGCAGCTGTGTGGAAGAAGGATTAGAGAAATGAAAGACTCCAGACAGAGACCAGTTGGAAAGATATTAAATTAGCTCAAGCAAGAGGTGAAGAGAGATGAAACTGGGGTGGTGCCTCTGTGAGGGTGGGGAGTCAAAGAACATTTGAATGCCCTGGGTGTTCAGAAGGGTGCAAGACCAGAAAATCAGTGGGGAAATTAGCACAGATCAATTAATTTTAAGTCCGTTGGCTGAGTCAGTATAATCATCCTTACCACCTTTCCCTGGCCTCTAAGATAGATTCCCAGAATCTCTAAGCAGAGCATCTGAGATCATAGAATTCAAACTTTACCTACAGAGAAATCTCTCTCTCTCTCCAGCATCCCTGATAACTGGTCACCTGGCCTCCCCTCAAACATCTCTAGGGATGGAGAACTCCTTACTTAAAAGGACGTACTTGTGGACAGCTCTAAATACTTCAGAAGCTTTTCTTTATCTCAGACTGGAATCTGCTTCTGTAGCTTCTACTCTTGCTCTGAGGTCCCCTCCTCTGGAGTCAACCAGAATCCATCTCCAAGGTGACTGTCCTTCTCTTGAAGACAGTGATCGGTTCCCCTAACCCTTCCTCTTCTCTAGATTAAACATCCCCAGCTCCTTAGATTGACCCTCAAATGGCATGGTCCCACCCTTCTGATCACCTCCCTTTGCACATGTTAAAATTTGTTTATGGTCTTAAAATGTGACTACCCAAGCTGAACGCAATACTCCAAAGATGGCCTGAATAGAACAAAAGAGAGTGGCCCTATTACTCCACCTCTTTGTTTAAACACTGTGCCTCTCTAAATATGACCTAAGATTTTCCTTGCTTGTTTGCCTTGCAGTTCACTAAGATCCCCAGTTCTTTTTGATAGTACTCATTCATTTATTCAAAGAAACATTTATTGCATGCTTATTTTGTGTAGAACCCAGTGCTTGGAGCTATGGGTGATACAGAGATGAATAAGCCTGGATCCCTGACTCCAAGGTACTCACAGTTAGAAGGATTGTGGGGGGGAGGGGAATAATTTGTGGGCACAGAACTATTATACAAAGTTCAGACACAAGGGTGTGTCAATAACTAGGGTGAGACAACAGGGGCTTTGCTCTGAGGTGTCAAAATTTAGGGGAGTTGGATTTCCTCCCCTGGTGGTCCTCTACCAATCCTGTACCATGATCTCTGAATTTATCTGAGGGAGCCGATCAACACTGCTTTCCCTTCCCCACCCCCAGGGATTTTCCTGGCATTTTCCTCTTTCTTTCAGGAGTAGAGAGGGGATAGGGAGTTCATTGGCTGTGCTCCTAAGTCAGGCTGACTTCTCCAGGGGCCAGGCTGCCCCTCTTTCTGGTGGGACTGCATCTGACCACAAATGACTCACAAGAAAACCCCTTTTCTCGTCCCCCTGAAATGAAGGTCAAGGTCAGTGGGTCATCCTGAATGCCAAATGACCTCTTCTTAGTTGGTCCCATCCCGTTCCCTTGCATAGAAGCCTGAGAACAGCAGGCAGGCTCATAATCCATTCTCATTCCCTTGAAGACTTTCCCCATGTGCCAGAATTTCTGGTTACCTCTCTGCCTTTGCCCAGCCCAATCCCACCGAGCTGAGCTAAAAGTGTTCTTCAAGGAAAGAATCATACTCCTATTGCCCCAAGTGGAGTTTTATGGAAAATCCAATACAATGTTTTCCATTCCAGTCAGAATTTATATCGAATCTACAGCTTTTTAGTGCAATGAAATAAAACATGCCATAGGTCTAGTGGTATTTTCCAAAATGTTGATAACGTTTTTCTGTTCTGTCCTCAATCTCCCATTGAATATCACCATATTCTCTTCTCAGTTTATCTCTCCAGTTATTTTGGAGAGCTCTAGCACATAGAGCTGTAGCAGTCATTGTTTAGATAGCCGGAGAACTGGTGGGACTTAGGAGATTGAAGAGGAGGTAGAAATGCAAGTGAGCTTTGGGGGATAATGAAGAAAGGGGGAGAGAGAGAGAGAGAGGATGAGTAGGATTCCTCATAGCAGGATTCTAATGCCTTGTTCTTATCAATAGATTCTTGAGCCCAAACTCCTCCCCCCACCCCATGCCTCAGGAAGGGAACTCACAATAAGTGACCTTGAATGCTCAGTTTAATTACTCTCATGGCCCCAACTCCTCCAGCTCCTCCCCAGCCCCTGTCCCAGACATCTGGGAATTTTCCCAGTGACTTTTGCCAGCAGCTCCTTTTATTGCCCACCAACTTCAATCTCCTCTGCTCTGCATTTGAGGCCCAGCACAATCTCAATCAATCAATTAATAAATATTTATTAAGTGCCTTTTATGTGCCAGGCACCATACTAAGCTCAATCTCATGCTTCTTTCCCTTTCTAGCTTTATTTCATATTACTCCTCTCCATGTAGTCTATATGCCCACCCCAAATGGAAAATTCCCCATGCCGGGAATCTAACATTTCGTCTCCAGCTGCCATTCCTTTGCTCATATTGATTTTTGTCTGGGAGGTCCTCTTTTCTTCTCTGCACCTGGTGAATTCCTCTGTACCCTTGGACATCTAATCAGGTTACTTTCAGGCTCAAAAATCTTTAGTGGTTTCCCATTGCCATCATCAGTCTGGCATTAGGCCTCCTTCCCCCATCTGGCACCACACTGCTTTTCGAGCTTTTTTTATTTAAGCACCATCCCCTCCAGAAAGCATTTCTGACCACCTTTGGTTACAGTCTTCACCATCCAACCTCTGACTCACTCCCATTTGAGCTCCCCCCTCCCCCTAATTTGCACTCATACTTGAAGGTTGGGGTTGCTCAGAGAAGCTGTTGTTAACTTGGGCTCTAGGGATAACTCTCGTGAGTGGCTAGACTCTTAACACAGTAGCTTTTGAGTCCCCACTGGTGTGCTTTCTATTAACACTCAGCCATAGATTCATTTAACCCTTAACAAAAGGGATTTAACTCAAACGGTATAAAAACATTCCTTCTATAAATCTCCCACTTTCCTGATTCCCTCTTAATGCAAGTGTGGAAAGCACAGAAGGAAAGTCTGTTCATTTAACTCCAATTTATCCCACATAGATCTTATTTATACATAGTTGTTTGCATGCTATCTCCTCCATTAAACTGTGAAATTCTTGACAGCAGGGACTGCTTTCTGTTTTTCTTTGTATCTTGTACTGTGCACAATCGTATGGAAGTGCAATCTCCTCTTGGAGCAACATCTAGGCCACACCATTGTATGACTGGACTATTTCTCTGCTCAACAACACTTCCTCAACTGGGATAGTGCTACGTTCTTGCCTACAACTGATAGAAATCTCTCTTATTTGATTCTTTCCTTCAGGTTTTAAGGTTGTTTTTTTTTTTAATCTCTTAACTAGATACAGGGTGTATAGAGAAGCATAATTTCCCTTTTATTTCTTTGATTACCCTTCTTGGTTTACAGTTGGGTTCCTCTCAGTAAGAGACCTCACTGTAACTTATGGTGACCTTCCAGTATCTTTCTCAAATCTTCATCTTTGTAAGCTATGGCCAGTTATCCAATAATCAATCATCAAACAGCTCTGGGGTTTAGGCTTCTCCCAGTTTTTTAATTCTAAGTTTCTCCTGATGGTCTTATGCAAATGAGCTGGGAAACAAGGTACTGAGGTGGTATAGAGTACCCAGGTCCATTGCCTTGACTATTTTCCTGACTTTGTGAATCAGCTACTCAGTGCCTAATACTATATCTATCTATCCTTGCCCCTGAGGACCTGCACATTTTGCAAAGTCTGAAAGGAATGTCCCCTCATAGGAATTTCATTTTGTTCACCCCTCTCTAATGTATTTTTCATGTACTACTGCATAACATAATGTCGAAGTCT